AATTTACTCCTAGTTTAAGTTTATTATTTTTCTCTTATATTTGGATGCACCGTTGGGTATTGTCCAACGTGTGCCACTGTTACGAAAGTGATATCCATTAAATTGATTGATTGATTGAACAACTCCCTGGTTTTAGCAACGATCGAAGATAGAAACTTCGTTGGTTCGCGGGTGTTGTTGACAAGCTGTGATTAATATTCTGTAGCCCGAGGCCCTATAGCAAATAAAAAGGATAGCAGTTTTGCTAGATTTGGCGACATCAAGCGACTGAGTAAACTATTTTAATACTTAGTAGAACTTAAGCTAGGCCTTAGCTACTGCTACGTGCATACTAATTCCCTGTGGTATACGCACTGTAGGCCTATACTATACTACTACAAATAAAGTTTACTCCACTGATAATCAATCGTCATGTTGCTTGGTTGGCTTCAATCAGCAATAATAACTGATTCCTGATGATGACATAATTAATGTCGAAATATTGAATCCCAATACGATGGCGTGTATTTCAATACTTGGAGTATGTATTATACTTTCTTATCTGAGATTAATCAGTGGACCTTTCGGTTTCAATAATAACTAGTGCCTACTATTCTATAGGCTTAGGCTAGGCCCCTAGTAGTAGCAGTACAGTACTAGGCCGGAAGCCTATCATGTACGCCTATAGCCATAGGCCCCCTAGGCGGGTATTCGGCCTATGCCCTAGGCCTAAAGTAGACCATTCTCTATAGTAGACCATATTAAAAATACACAAGAATAACAGAAAGGACTTTTAACCCAGACATTGTGATAAGCCCCAATCGAAGTACATGAAATGACATAAATTTGATCGTAACTGTTCGCGCCACACGTTTCTCATGATCGCGACGTCGACTTTGCAAAAAAGCCAAAATCGAGTCGGTCATTTCTATTGGCTAATCATGAAGTAATATCATTTACCGTACCTTTAGCAATCGGAAGTTCCGATACGGTACCGTATCTCTAGCCCGGACGGTGATTTACCAACGTGTCACAATTAGGCCCTATAAAAAATATTATATCACCCTATCTGGGCAGGAAAAGTGATGAGGGAGGGAGGTTTTTTTTTTTTAAGTTTTATTTTGCTAAAGCCAAATATCGCCCTTGGGTTGTTTGCTGGTGCATTGATATTCAAAGTAAAACATGATTTAGATAAAGCAAACGATATCTACTAACTATTTAATAAAATGAATGAAAAAAATAAATAAATAAAATAATTAAAAAAATAAAAAAAAAAAAAAAAAAAAAAAAAAAATCAAAAAAATTTTTTTTTCTTCAAAAATTTTTTTTTCACTGCCATAAAAGACATGCGCGCGAGGGTGATAAACTAATAATTTGTTTTATAGGGCCTTATATCCCTACCTAATTTTACCAACCTTCTTCTACAATATGGTTCTTAACAATATTAATTCAGCCAAATTGGATTTTATTTATATTTTTTTGTAAAATATGTAATGTTTGTTATTGATCGGCAAACATGTAATTCAACATTTTGATAACTGAAAGCTATCCTTATCCATCCTGGTCAGTTAAGAAGAGCAGTTCTAGGCCTGCCTCAATAACTTGTAATATTATTATTTTGCTAAATTTTTACATTTTAAATTTCATCGTATTTAATACAGGCCTTAATGGTAATTGTTATATGGTAATTATTTCGATGTGAGGCAATTGTTATTATTGTGACGATCTTCGATTTAACCAACACAAGCCTATGCAAATAAGAAAAAATAAAGATGCCTATAATAATACTTGTTAAGAAGGAATTTGTTTGCTTAACAAAGGTTCCAAGCAGGGGCGGATTTAGAGGGGGCTAAACAGTGGTGCACAAAATTCTAAAGGGTGGATACAAACAATTGCTATTTTAGTACATAGCAAGTGACACGCTAAGCCTGTTTATTGACCTTGCATTTGCATTAATCTTTTTTTGAAGCGTGGTTCCGATATTTTAAGCATGGCGTATAATTTGCCTTTTTAATATTTTTATTTAAATTATGTTGTTTCTGTGAGTATCCTACGTGAAAAGACATTTTTATCTGCCATTAAAGATCCTAGTTAATCGTTTTTCATATTATTAATTTATTTACATATATTCTTGTTATAATAATGATTTACTATAAATATTGTTTATTACATTTACGGAAATAAATGTTGTTTAATGAATGAATAATTATTCAAATCCACTTGCACTTGACAACAACAACTAGGCATCAGTTATTATTTTTAATGGTGTCTACCACATATTTCTTCTTCAATTATATGCAGATACTAAATAAA